ATACACAATTCAGATCACGTTTCACACAGAAGTCACAGCGCCGTGCTTGAGCTTTACGTGGATGTCCACCGTGAGGTGCTGTCGAGTGCCACCATCAACTTCCCTATGGGAACAAGGCCTTGTGCCTCCCATTCAGATACCTCAGAGCAAGAGGCAACAGATCACAATGGGTACATGGGGAGGAGGACGAGCCAGACTCTCTGAGCCAGACTGGCTCCTATCCTGGGTAGGTGCTAGGTTAGCCACAACAGCAGGGAGAGGTGGCCTATGAGTTCCTCCATGGACCCCTGATGGCTTTGTGTGGCACTTTACATCTGCTACATGCCTCTGTGACATGACACCAGTTTCCCATTTGGAGTTCCAGAATCTACCTCCCTGTCCCTGGTATTCACCGATGACAGGGAACAGAAGAGCCAGGTGAAGCCCAGGGTAGGCTATGCTTGTCTGTCTCTACCTACAGTGCTTGAGGAAGATGCTCTTCGGGCTCTGGAGGAACTGGAGAAGATGGCCCTCCTGCAGACGCTGCGCCAGACCATGGGCACAGAAGCAGGGGAGAGACTTGGGGAAGCAGGTAAAGACATTCTTAGGCTTCTGGGCAGATATCACAGCTCCTAGACTTGCTCTACTCTAGTTACTAGAGAAGGCTCTAGAAGCCGAACTGTACGACCCTTCTTATTGGATTCTTCTACCAAGCTCTGCCTACCCTTCTATAGTCCTGAGGCTAGCTTGGGCTACATAACAAGACTGTATTAAAAACAAGCAAATTATAGCAATGAGAAAATTTCCCTCAGGGTGACTTTGAAGTAAAATGTATACAGAGTCGGAATGGTGAGTGACAGACATGGGACTCACACTTATGAACCCTGAGTCTGAGGCTAGCCCGAGACCCTATTACAACACAAACAACTGATAGATCACATCATTGACTGTTTTCTTCTGTTGTTCAGAACATGTAGGTAGAGAATGAAGAGTCTCTCAGTAGACATTGCTAACTGGTAGTCCAGCTATAGTTTTTGACACACTATTAAAATGTTGAGGTCAGAATCCTTGCCTGCTCCCAAGTACACACTGCCTCAGTCTGGAAAGGACTGGAAACACGATTTAGGGGTATTCTATTTTTTTTTTCTTCTTTGCATGTGTGGTGTGCATGTATGAGGGCAGGCCCATGTGGAGCTCTGGGAGGCCCGAAGTTGACACTGGTTGTTTTTCTCCAGCTCTCTTGAATTTATTTATTGAGGCTGGGTCTCTGGGCCTGGAGCACCTTAATCCAGCTGTTTTACTAGCCAGTTTGTCCCAGGGATCCTGTCTCTACGTTCTGAGTGCTCAAGGCGCCAAGGTGGCCTCTATGCCCACCCAGCTTTTACCTGGGTTCTGGGGATCTGAACTTTGGTCCTTTAGCCTGTGCACCACGAGTCATCTCCCAGCCTTGGAATCTTAGATTCTGTATATTTTGCAATAACCGTAACTGCTGGGTATGGTGGCAGATGCCACAGGTGGATCTCTGAGGCCAGCCTGGTCTACATGGTAAGGTCAGTCTGGTCTACATGGTGAGCCCCTGCTTAAACAAAGAAAAAGACAGAGAGATAAAACACAGCAGTAGATCTAACAAGGTATCAAACTGTTTTCCAGATCCCAGTGTCGAGACTCCCACTCCAAGGGGAAGCCTGAGGAAGGTAAGAAGCTCTGGCTTCTGAGGGAGAGAAAATGAACTTCTCCTAGTTCATGACCTCAGAATGTTCTAAGGAATCATACCTTAAAACAACCGGCCAGTGTTCTCCTGGAGCAGAATGTTTCTAAACTGATTCACAGAATATGGAACTGTAACAAGAACATAACAGGCGTCTGTTCTGGGTAAGCCGCAGTAGGATGTAAGAGAAAGGGGCAGCAGGTGAGGCCACTGCTGGGCTTGCCATCCAGTGCCCTGCCATGTGGCCTCAGCAGCAGGGCCACTACTAGGAAGCTGATGGGAAATGCTTAGTCTCTATCCACAGGCCCTACTAGTCAAACCTGCACTTCAGCAGATCTGCAGTGAGACTTTAGTCAGAGTAGTCAACAGGGCAGCATGGGAAGGGTTGAAGGATGCTGTGTTCCCCTCCCCAAAGGCTGGAGCAGAGACACCTCTGTGGCTGTAATCGCCACCAGCGTCCTGGTAGCCATCAATGTGACAGGAGAGCTTAGAGACAGGGAGCACTACCCGAAGCCCTTAGGGGGTTAGTATGGCTTCTGTGAGCAGCTGGGGAAAAGTCGTCACTCGAGGGTTTGCATCCTTCTAAACAGAATGACCAAAGGAACTGGGCGAGGAAAGGGTTTACTCAGCTTACACTACCACATCACTGTTCATCACTGAAGGAAGTCCGAGCAAGAACTCAAACAGACTTGGAGGCAGGAGCTGATGCCGAGGCCATGGAGGGTGCTGCTTACTGGCTTGCTCCCTATGGCTTGCTCAGTCTGCTTTATCATACAACCCAGGACCACCAGCCCAGGGATGGGCTGGGCCCTCCCCGTCAATCACTGATTAAGAAAATGTCCTAGAGGCTTGCTAACGATGGATCTTATGGAAGCAGTTTCGCAGCTGGGGCTCCCTTCTAATTGGTGATGCTGGTTTGTGTCAAGTTGACATAAAACTATCCAGTACAAGGATTACCCCTAAGGTCTAAAACTGTAAATGGAGGATGTGCCTACTGTATTCTAGAACCAAAAGAAAACTTTGGCTCAACCTTTAATTTAACAGCTATGTTACACAGAAGGCAAGTGTCTGGAACCCTGACAGAGAGGTCACAGAGAGGGGAGGGGAGCTCAAGGCAGCCATAGAGTTAAGTGGATCGACTGGACCAGAGACCCAGTGGGAGGAGCCTCAGTGAGAGCTCGGACTCACGGCTACTTAATCTGTTGTTCTGGTCTTGTGGTTTCAGGCTTTCACTGGGCCAGATTCTAACACTGTGCTGAGTCGTCTTTTGGCAAGAACCAGGAAACAACATAAGCAACAGGGGACTGCCCCAGAATGCTTCTGGAAATACTGCATTTGATGAGAGACAAGCATCCATCGGTCTGCTCAGAACCATCTCTTCAGGAAACTAAAAGAGCAGACGCTTGAAGAAAAATCCCGCTGATGCCGCCCTGTTCTTCATTATGAGAAATAAATCCTCTATGTTTCTCAAGTATCACACGCAGTTCAGTTCACTTGTGTATACACCCTGAAAAATCGATAGCCTGCCTTTGCCCCCACTTATCTTGGAAATGTGCGAGTTGGGCTGGAGGTGTAGCTCAGTGGCAGACAGCCTGCCTGACTACGTGAGCTCGGTTCCTTCCTGGGCTCTGCAGAAAGGGGGCGAGAAGCTCCTAAGTAAAGGTAGGAAGTGTGCACACAGCACGGGGGTCGGTGGAGAAAAGGCATAGAGAAAAAAGATCCAGCCAAGAGTCTCTGAAGTCAAATATGATTCAAAATAAATTACTTTCCTGACATCTCCTCAAGCCTAAAAAAAATGAATATATACATTGCTTCGGGGTGGGATTGGGGAAACAGGGTCTCATGTATCCAGCACCAGCCTTAAACTCCTGCTTCTCCTGCTCCCTACTTCCTGAGTGCTGGGTGTGCAAGTGGTTGTCACCATATCCAGCGTCGGTCACACTGAGGTTGGAAGGCAGAGCTGTGCTTGCTCCTGAGCCAAGTGTGCTGCTGAGCTCTGTTTCCAGGGAGGGCGGTACCTGGGTTTGAAAAGCTCTGATGTAAGGGCAGCGGCGGGGGACGCTCTGAACTGTTTCTTGGGGGCAAGTTTGTGTGCTCACACTCTTGCTCTCAGCTGGCTTGAGTACTCATCAGGGGCTTGAAAACTTCTCTGCTCTCCACCTCTGTGAATTTCAGTGCCCAGCTTACCCCCTTTAAGTAATGGAAACCCACTTCCCTTCAGCTAACAAAGGCAAAATACCCAGTGTTCTTAGAGCTGACACCGGGATTCAGGCTGTGGAATGGAATCGGCAGGGCATTCATCTTTAAGACCCACAAATTCATAAATGGACCAGCATTTCATGCACAACTGTGGTAGTCTGTGGAGGGCCAGACACCTTGTCTGGGTGCCACAGGTCTGCACCAACCTCACTCACTGTGTAAACCTCACTCACCCTTGTCCCAAACATCACCAGTGCCTTCAAGTACATGTGACAAAGCTTTCCTAATCTAGACACAACAGCAACACTCAGTAGGGAAAGCAGGTGTGCAGATTCAAGCATTCTGCCATCAAGTCTTCCTATGACACTGGTGGCTCCTTGGTGTCAGAAGCACGCTAGCTCTCACTCCCTTATGGCAATCCCAAGAAGCCTAAATGGGTTTCTAGTGTGCTAGCGTAACCTAACAATCATCAGTAGGTGTAGTGATTTGGGGCAATTATCTTATGACAGACTGCTAAGCTCAGTCACTGGAACAGAGTCCTCCGGCGACTCAGCAGCCTCCCTGTAAAGTGAGAACCGCCTCCACCGGCTGCTGTGAGGCTGGGATGAGACAGTTTCTACAGAGCACTTATGCAGGTCCGGCTGCAGGCAGAAACTGTAAAGCTGGGCTATGTGGCCCTTGGTGTTGCCATGAGAGGAAGGTACAACTGGACAGGCATGAGACTCGGGGCCTTGCTGGCTGGGACCAGGCTCCGTATTCTGATGTCTTGATTTTGCTCTAAGTAACTCAGACCTTGTAAACTACAAGCTTACCCTACAGAAGCTTCAGGAATAATTCTGATAATTTTACTACACTGGCATACATGAACAGCATTATCCATATGTTTGCACATATAAACATCCAGGGCCCAACTTCTCAGGGATAAAATGGGGACTAACAGAGTGGCAGATAGATGCCTAACCTCCAGAGCGGGGACAGAGATGAGAGTACATGGCCAACAGTTGTGAGTGTGGTGATGTGGACCTAGCACGGGACCTTCAGGGACGGCAGTCAGCAAGCGGCTCTGGCTGACAGCAAGCATGCTCAAGGCTTGACTACACAATGAAGAACATTCTCCACTTGAACACATACACTGTTTATTGTTTTTACTCAAAAAGATAACCAATGAAAAGATAAATATCCATTACGTACGAGCAAACTCAATGTTAATTATGAACAAATTGCCAATTTGGTTAAAATTTGCCATCTTGTGAACGATAATATTTCATTTAATCCATTTATTTACATAACATCTTATTTTCATAAATTTTGACCTCTGACCCCAGAAAATAAACCTTTGGGTAAACATTTATGTAGACACTCAAGTCTACAATACACGCTTTTCTTATCAGTTCTCTAGTTACTAGTATAAAAGTCAGTGAGCTTGAGTTTCCACTGGGTGTGACCCCCACGGGGGGCAGCAGCCTCTGCTGGACCGGCCCTCAGCAGCAGGGATTGCCGAGTGTACTGAGGGCATCCTAGCAGAGGTGAGACTTGGTAAAGGACTTTACAGACCTGACTACAGCACCATTTTCAAATCAAGCCTGGCATAACACAGACTCCATAAGGTGTGGACTAAGGCAAGGAAATAAGGAACTGTAGAGCAAACGGGGATCCAGAACCAACAGGAAAGGACCTTTCACCAGAAACCTGGTCTGCTGTATGTACACTAACGCAGAAGGGTCCTGGTAGCTCCAGACGAGCACAACCCTTTGCCAGAGAAGGCCAACCTGACTAACGCAGGCCTCTCAAACCACTTAACTACCAGGATGGAGTAGGTTCTGAGAAGTCTCTTTATTCACATAGCAGGAACACGTATCAGAAACTGCTCAGTGTCAGAAAGTTTCAAGAAACGTCATAGGCAGCATCTTAAAATGTTTCTGATACCTTCCGATAGGACTACGGTCCAGAAAAAGCATTATTTTAGAAAAGAGGTCCAAGCCGCCGAGTACGAGTGCTGGGCACAGTGGCGTCTATGACCGTCTCCTGACCACAATGACAATACAGTTAGCAATAGCTATAAATTGTCAGAGGAGAAAAAAGTGTTTTCCTAAAACAAAACAAAAACAACAAAAACAAAAAAAAAACCAGGGGGTAGAAAAAGGAAAGTAAGTTGCACTGCACGAAGAGAAGCAGGAAACGGGCGCTGTAAACCTCCTCCCTGCCAGTTCTTTCCTGACCTGCACGGCAGAGTCCACAGCCATTCCCTGGTCAAGAAGGAACCTTGAGCTTCTCCAAACCAGAGCACTGGAGAGCGAGCGGAAACAATCGCAGTCACTTCTGAGACCAAACTACCTGGAGAGCACAGACTCATGGGACCCTGCTGTCACCAAGCTGGGGTCCCCAAGCTCCCCTAAGTGTCCCCTTGCTCTGAAGGCCTCAAATACTTACCCCTGTTCAAAGGCAAACAACAGGCATGGCCTCCAGACTGCTGGTCGGCATGGAGACCTTGCCGTGTAATTTGATGAAAAGGAAAAATTAACCGTTTGTTTTGGTGAGCCTGGGCACACATGCCTCCATGATAACATTAACGTAATATTTAAAACTTTCCACATTTATTTTATAACCAAAAAAAAAAAAAAACCTTTAAAAACACTGCTGTTTGAGTAAGAGGCTTTTTAACATTCGAGGCTTAACTTCAGTCATCCAAAGTCCTGTCTAGCAGACAGATCTCAAGGAAAGCGCTCCCGTGAAAGGCGGCTGCCACAGGAAGAGCATGGACGAGAATGGGCTCAAACAACTGAAACCACGACCCCCACAGTTCCTAGAGGACCATGCCCTCTGACGTTTTTTTGTTTTTGTGAGAAAGCTGGAATGTCTTACAATCAGGAAGAGAAGCACCATGCTGATCAATGTGGTAAGTTCACGGAAAACACCGTGAGAAACACACAACCCACAGACAGAAGTTCTTCAAGTATTCTAGTGGGAAAATGATTTTGTAACAACAGAACATCGCAAAGAAGACTCAGGCCTGGGACTCGCTCCAACTGTAACGGACTCAGGGAGACTTCTGAGATTACACTGTCAGACCAGGTGACAGATGAGCTTGAGAAGGCTTCTCGTTGGCAGTTTTAACATCAGGAACCAGAGCCTACAAATATTCCTGCTTTGGGAAAACCAAGAAGGGAGGGCTGGGGATACAGGTCAGCGGTGGGGAATGGCAGCCTAGTGGATGCTAGGCCCTGGGTTTGATCCCCAGCACCACTGAAAGCAAACCAGACAATGCCAGGGAAGACCTTAATGTTGATGAGTGCCATTTAAGAGTTAGACTGTGCTGAGGTGACACACATCTCTGTGTCCCACATGACCTGGAGACGGCGTGACATCTTCACAACTGCTCAACTGGTGTCTTCTGCTGGGTGCTGTTCGGGGACCTCTGCAGCGTCGCCGACTGAACCTCTGTCTTCATAGGGGACACAGCTCTCCAAAAGAGAACAAAGGCAAGTGTATCATTTGATGTTAATGCCATCTTAAGAGATTAAAAGTAAGGAAAAGGCTGAGCTGAGGGAAGATTTACTGGTTGGTTTTTGTAAATGGGACAGACACAAATCCAGACATGTCTGGGAAGAGAGAAGCTCAACTGAGAGAATGCCTCTGTCAGATAGGCCTGTAGGCAAGTCTGTGATGCACTCTCATGAATAATGACGGATGTGGGAAGGCCCCACTCACTGTGGGCTGTGTCACCCCTGGGCTAGTGGTCCTGGGTTCTATAAGAAAGCAGACTCAGCAAGCCATGGGGAGCAAACCAATAAGCTGCACCCCTCCACGGCCTCCGTTCAGTTCCTGCCCTGACTTTCCCTGTGAGGTGACACATTCTGAGTGCTTTTGGTGCTTCTTTCACAAGGATAGAAAGCTAAGACAGTTAGCAGAGGGAAGGACTTGATGAGCAAATAGAAGCATCAATGACGTGCGAGGACACCTACAAAGAAAACAGCCAATCCCTTCTAACCCTGAGAAAGACAAAACTGAGGTAAAGCTCCATGGAGGAATAAAAGTAAGTCTGGGAGAAGTGAGAACTGAAATCCTGAAGACTGGATAATGATGCGTAATGGACACCACTGCTGCCCTCTCTCTCTCTCTCTCTCTCTCTCTCTTGTTCTTTTTCTTTTTCTTGTTCTCCTCCTCCTCCACCTCCAAACCACCACCACCACCATCATCATCAGGAAGGAAAAGACACAGAGTGAGCAGTGATGGGAGCTTATCTGGTCTGCGTGCACTGATAGCTGTCAGAGGGACCAGAGAGAGGGAAAGAAAGGAAAAGGATGTGTGTGAAAACAAAATGCCTGAAAATCTTCCAAATGTAATGAAGATATGACCAGAGCATCCAGGAAGCTCAATGGCTTCCAGACGGGATGAGCTCAGACGCACACGCCCTCAGATGCACACGCCCTCAGATGCACACTCTCAGACGCACACGCCCTCAGATGCACACTCTCAGATGCACACGCCCTCAGATG